AAATATTTTGCAAGGAAAATGGGGAGGGGGGTACGCATGCCAATAACATGGACGAACACGGCCACACACTTTCCAAAAGCCACAGGGAGGGGCAGGAAGCAGGAGGGCAAGCAAATTATAGTTTGCAGGAGAAAGAATGAAAACTTCCAGACCCATTTAAGGCTCGTTATAAAACCATTTTGCATCCGGTTGTCAATGGAAGTTTTATAGCAAGTGAAGGAGGCAGAGGGGTTAGGGATTCTCCGGTGTTCTTGCAAGGGAGAGCAGAGAGAGAGCTGAGCAAGAGGGGGAGTGCGTGCAAGGGGGGGGGACTGCTAGTAGAGCAATGGGGAGGGGGGGACGAGAGGGGTGAGTGAGGAGTACAGACTCACTCTGTCTGCGCTGTGGTGGAAGAGTCCGAGGGATGCCCTGGAATGAGCCCTGCCAGGGAGAGAAGGAAGGAGCAGAAAACCCACTCTGTGTGGAGAAAGATGGGGGAAGGGGGGAAAGAAAAAATAAAACAGAGAACCAGTAAGGGGTGGGGGAACAGTACCAAAAGCTACATTGTTCCTCGTCTCTTAGCGAGAAATAGCTGCAATTCTAACCATCCCAAAGGAGTCGTCGGATTTGCCAAGCGTCCTTCAACTGCTTTCTTTATCCCAGACAGAGACCCAATTCTATTAGCTCATGATAAGCAGAATTCTGCGGGGAGAAAAATAAAAGTATTCACCCCCCTTCCAGATTTTCTGAATTTTTCCTTTTTTTTTTTTTTTGCTTCTGAGTGTTATCAAGAGCCTCACGAGGGTCCGACGTATGCATAAAAAGGTTGGAAGGGAAGCAGTGAAAACAAAATGTGGTGCCTGGCTGCATATATTTCATAAACAAAGACCTTCAACAATTCAAGTGGTGCTCAGGTTAGGACTACAGAGGCTGGGAAACGTATCATTTAAGTGGAGTGGTTGTTAAATGAGATTTTCCAACCGCTTTTGCTATCAATGTTTAGGGAATCACCAGGGTCATTAAGTGAGACGTCACCTGCTGGCCTCCCCATTGACTTTGCTTGTTGGAAGCTATCTGGGAGGGTTGCAAATAGTGACTGTTGGCCACGGGGCACTGCGACTGTCATAAAGTGAATGAGGGTTGCCAAGGGCTCAAACCACAATTGGCCATGGGGATGCTGCAACAGTTTGTGGGAGGACCAGTTGCAAGTTACTTTTTACTGCAACTTCAAACTGTCACTAACAATGGCGTAGTCAGCTTGACATCACTTGTGTCAGGGGCAGCTGTGGTGGCCCAAGCGCTCAGCAAAAACGGGCTCCAGAGCTCTATTTTCAGCTGCGGCGGTCTCTTGGCGCCATGTGTGGCAGGAGGCCATCACAGCTGAAAAAGGAGCCTGGGAGGGATGCATGTGGCCCTCCCAAGTTCCATTTTTGCTGGCAGAGGCATCATGGGCCAGTCCTTGGCCCTGTGGGCCAAATTTAAGCATCCTGTGGACTGGATCCGGCCCCTGGGCCTTGAGTTTCACACCCCTGGTTTAACACATCACACAACCAACTTGATAAAAATTGTGGGATCTTTTTTTAATTATTTCCAAAGATTGTTAGCTCAACGCAGGAAAAAAAGGGGAGGGGGGGCAAGGAATTGCAGAGGTTTTAGATATTTTGAACAAAACTAATAATTACATGGAGGTAAGTGGTTCACCCACCAGGAAGATCCCAAGGAAACCTATGTCAAATATTTCAGTAAATCATAGGATATACAATCAAGGTAAAACAATGTATCCAAGCAAACTTTTTAAGTTTCAGAAATCTGGAAAACCAAAATAATAATCATCATCATAATTTTCACGGAAGAAAGTTCTATCAGCAAGACCCCACGGCTAAGAATGCTGCCGTCCTGGTCATCCCTCATTTCTGATAGGTAGAGCTAAGAAGTCAAGAGTTAAGAAAACAGGACAAGACCTCTGAATATAAATCTTTTGAAAGAAGGCCTTCGCAGCAAACAGAGACCCTTCTTTGGATTATTAAAGCAGCTGTATCTTTGCCCAGGCCTCAATAGTTACTCTGTAAGCTGTTTCTAAGAGAGACCCAGAAGCAGTTATTTGTTTCTGCTTGAACACATCCAGAGTTATCTACTCTCTATCTCAGTCTTTCTGTTACTAAATTGCTTTTACTGTCAGGACAATTTCTGTGGTCTACAGCTGAAATATGTTTGCACACACCACTGTAGACCGTTCCTGATCTTCTTCTGAACAACATCGCTTTAGGAGTTGCCTTCACAAGGCTAATCTCCAGCTCTACCTCCACCAGTCTCTCCTTGTAAGTCTTACTTTCCTGGGTTGATCTCTAAACTCTCCTTCCAGTGAAGTGTCTGGAACTGGATGCAGCACTTAAGAAGTTTGACTGGTACAAAAACTATGTTTTCCCACTTTAGAAAGTAAATTTTAATAACACCCAAAAGGTCAGACTCCTGACTCATTCACTTCATAATCATCAGTTCTTAGATCCTTTCCTCATCTCTCCTGAATCCTCTATTAATGATTTTTTTTATTTCTTAAAAAGAATAACTTGAAATTCATCTGATTAAATGTTGTTATTTTCAGTCTTTTCCCTAACTTTTCAAAATCATTTAAATTTGTTTCTTCTTGCCATCTACAAATTTGTCGAGCCTTTTTTTCCTTCACGTCCTCATTTAATACTGTAATAGCAGCCTGTGACCACTCTTGGTATCATCTCACTCAATATTTCCTTCAGTATGAAGGATAATTTATGAAAACATAATGAAAATGTTTGTCAAGCTTCTAGGCAGCCAACTAAAATTATGCCATCCAGCCTGCACTCAAGAAACGTGCAAACTGGAATAGGTTTAATTAAATCTCTCCAGATTGATCTATCAGGTGCAGCTATAGCTTTGGTTGTATTTGGAGATTCTGAGCATATTGTTTTAAAAAAATTAAATACACATTATTTACTTCTACTTCAGGAATTAGATATATGTATTTAATATATTTAAAACAATACTCAGAAGCATATTGATTCTTTTTTTGCTGGAGTCTACCTTTTGTATAAATCTCCAGGCGTAGTCATTGGTTTATGTCATTACATAAAGATAATTAATAAATAAATAAAAATGAAATGAAAATATCTGGCTATATACATTTTCATGTTTTTATTTTATCTATTTAGAAAAAAAATAGACTATGATATCTTGCTGCCCTCTTTCATTTATTTTCTGGCAAAAAAGGAAGAATGCACAAATACAAGGATGGTTAAAAGCTACGAGTCTGAGGAGAAAAAAAAATCCTTGATGGCTTTTCAAGCTGATCTGAAATATTAATTCATTTTTTTTATGGAAAGGTTTAGGGTTGAACTATGTTTTTGGTGATTCTGTGATGTAAACCAACTGTTCCAATCCCTCTAAAAATCTTCAAGTACAAAAATGATCTTTTCTAATTCCCAAAAGCAACAAGAAAAAAAAAGAAATCCCCAAGGTGACTACAAAAAGAATATTCGTTTGTAAAAAAATCTAACTTTCAACATACTGTATGCATTATGTTTTAATAAAAAAAATAGCATTGTGTTTGACTTACTGCACTGACATTTGCTATCCTGGCATTTTATGTAATATCCACTTCATTTAAATCTTCAGGAAATTATCTCTATGTGCACTTTATAGATTGTCTATATCTTACATAAAAGTGCAATTACTAAAAATTAAAACTGGGGTAGGACTTTATAGTATAATATAGTTGGTTTTTTTTAAATTCCAGAACTGCAAAGGAAACTTAATACTAGAAGTAGTGATTTCCAAAGGGTCAAGAAATTAATGTTGTCAAAGAAATGTATGTTCCCATTACTTTACAAAAAAGTGTGTTAAATCTGACTTTGTTATAAGGTATATTCAGAATTGCCTCCAGTTTTTCCAGATATCATTTTTTCCGCTATTTGCCATGTAGATTAATCCACGAAATCCAGTATTAGTGAATCTAGGAGATATAATAGCCGCTTTTTGAATGCATACCTAAAATATGAAGAATGAGGCAAGTCTAGAATTCTAAGCCTTAAAGACTATAAATGTTTTTAATAAAGATTATAAAAAAAGAAGTGATAGTGAAAATGTCATTATAAAGTGTACACACTGGAGCAGGGGTGTCAAACTGGATTTCTTCTGACAGCCGGATCAGCACTGTAGTTCTTCTCCGCGGGCTGGCATGGGGGCGTGGCGGGGGGGGGGGAGATGGGACAGAAACCTCCTGCAGCACCCTACCGGCCAAAATGCCCCCCCCCCCCCGTTTTTGTCCTTCATGGCCTCCGGCAATACTCTCCTGGCTGATGCCGGGATGAAAACAGGCCCCCGCACGGCCTGTTTTCGGCCTCCCGGGCCTCCAGCGGGCACTCTGCCAACTAAAAACCAGCAGAGGCACTGCAGGTTGGTTCTTTGATATTTCCAGGCTGTCCCAGTAGGCCGGATCCAGCCCCCAGGCCTTGACTTCGACACCCCTGCATTGGAGCAATGATGGACTGTGGATAGTTGTCGACTTATGACCACAATCAGAATGTCCATGTCTAAGCAAGGTGGTTGTTAATTGAATCACATCCAACTTTACAGGGTTTTTGCCAAGTGAATCCCTGGAATGGTTGGGCATGTTAGACAACCGTTAAGCAAATCTGGCTTCTCCCACTGACTGTGACACCATTTGTGACCTCAGAAACCAGTTGAGGTCACACACAGCAATCGTATGATCCAGGGACACTACAACCATCTTAAATACAGGCCAATGGCCACGTGCCCTCATTCTGATCATGTGGCCATGGGGATGCTGCAATGGCCACAAGTGTGAGGACCGACTGGTCGGCCACAGGTCACTTTTTGATCTTTGAACAGTCCCTAAATGAATGGTTTTAAGTCGAGGGCTACCTCTATATTGAGGTATGATACCGAATAATGCAACTGAAAGTAAAACACCAAGAAAATATATAGAGCGTAAGGAAGCATCTTTATGCAAGCAGTAAATGACTCACCGCATTTCTTCTCCAGGAGGTTTGGGTGAATTTGTCAGCAAAGCCGCACGTGGTCGCTTCAGGCACCTTGCTGGCTTTGTGGCAGCCACACCTAACAGCCTTCATGCAGAGGGAAGAGAGAAAACTCGGTGAGGAGCAAGAACAGCCACAAAGAGGCTACCTCACAGGGGGATCCAGAGCCAGCTTCAGTCAAGAGGCAGTGCAGATACAAATTCAAATTAAACAGGTCCACTAAAAGTAGACCAAAAACACCACACAGCCTTCCCGAGAGAAAATTTACCGTATTTTTTGCTCCATAAGACGCTCCTGACCATAAGTCACACCTAGGTTTAGAGGAGGAAAACAAGAAAAGAAAAAGAAAATCTGCCTCCCAGCATCCGTCTGGTATTCATCTGGCTAGCGTCCTTGCAGCAAACAGCAAACAGCCTGGTCAGCTTCAGCATGTTATCGCGACCCAGCATGTAGCTCATCAGGGCTCCGCTTCATTGTGCCCACCCCCAGTCAGCTGAGCAATGACTAGATTCCGGCCTCCTGTAGCCACACCGATCAGTGGACTGGCTGGCCATTGCTGCCTCCTCTGTGTTTGCTGCCTCCGCCGGGGAAGGCAGGATCTTTCACTGCTGAGCAGCTGATCGGCAGTTGGATGAGCCTCCCGGAATACCGCCAATCAGCTGTTCCAGGCAATGGGGATCATTGCCACCGTTCACCGCTGCTGCCTGTCGTCCATATTTGCTGCATAGGCGCACAGACATTTCCACACACTTTGAGGAGGAAAGTGTCTTATAGAGCGAAAAATCTGGTAAGTGCTTGTTTCCTAAAACGTTCATGTAGCTCAGGGGCACAATCGTTTTCTATCATTATTATGATCACATTTCTTTTCATAAGCGGCGTGATTACTTACAAGTCGACGTTCAAGCTCCTGGATGGTCTCGTCTTTCTTTTTTAAATCGTCATTCAGCCGTGTGATCTCGCTCAGTAATTCGTCAATCTGGCATAAATTAAATAAGGTATTAATGTGTTTTGAGAAATATTATAATGTCTAATTATCTGCTGCGGAAGGAAAAAGTATGGCTTTGAAACCAAGTCTGAATAATGGATTTCACATTACCAAATGTTTAAGAATGATACAAATTGCAGGTATTATCGGTATCTATACCCTCATATTTCTCTTATTAAATTTGTTTTCCATCCATCTCGCTGGGAGACCTCAGCAATCACATCGGTGAATACATTCAATAAATAAATAACTTTTGCCTAAGACAGATATGTATAGTTTTGTACTCAGACACAGGCATTTGTTTAGGAGGAGAAAAAATGTTAAAAAGATTGGAAACCTTATTACTTTTCTGATACTTGCCTTCACAAAATAACTGCTATGTGTAGTGAACATTCTGCCAGTGCTACCATCATTCAGGCAGTCCATATATTACCAAACTTACATAAAAATAAAGTTATGCCATTTTTGTGGATGCCATATCTATTACACATTAAATATGATCATTTACACAGCACATCCAAAAATGTAGGAAGCGTAACTCAATTTATTCTGCAAAACTGGATTATGCAATACTTTCCAAAATGGAATATTACATAAGTTAGGGACTGCCTACGTACAATCTTCATTTAGATCATAGCTCAGACATTAGAGTTTTATTATTAATCAAATAATTGGACATTTTCCCCACTCAAGTCTATTGAATTAGTTGTTTGTGATGTTTTTTTATATTCACGTTTGAATCTAACTTTTAAAGGCCTTCTGGTGGTTTCATTTCTCCCACTTTCACATGTTTAAAAGTATTAATTAGAGAGGTCGGTTGCATTATATATTTTAAATAATTTTGTGTGCCCATTTATTTTAATTAGTCTCTGTTCCTGTTCTACGTTATTGCCTTAAATTCTTCATCTCTGCGTGGCTCCTTTTAAAATAGTTTTATTTAAGTGCCTAATCTATTTTAGGGACTTAAGATGGTAGTACAAGCATCCCAGCCCTGAGAAAAAACATGCAGCTTGGAATTATTTAAGTAAGACTTATAAATAGTTTAGAACAGATATTAGACTCTATATCTGTAGTTTGTCTGGTGTGGAATCAAACTGCTTCCATATCATGGACAATTCCATTCTATCGACTCATCTCCAATTACCTTATACGTTGGTTCAGGATCCAGCTCTTCTGGACTTGATGGCACTGGGGGTGTGATGTTGTGTAGTGACATGTTTTCATCGTTCTGCAAAAGAGCAACGTTTTTTGTTGTTGTTTTGGGCATCTAAATCTTATGAAGATATCCAGACTTGGGAAATTAAGGCTTAAAAAATCTTAAACCCTAGTTGGAACAACTACCATAAACAAAAGGAGAGAGAGTAAACGGATATTTCCATGAAGAATGACCCAGGAATTTCATGTTTTTTTCAACTAAAATCAGAGAAACCTTTATCGGCCACCTTCTTTTCCCAAATTCTCCCATGAGGGACAGATCCTACAGTAAGTCCAAACTACAAAACAAGCCAACCAACAAAAAAAAAGCAATAGGAATCCACAATTTAACACAACTGGCCAGAGTTTCTATAATGGTCTTTGATATCCTTGCAAGAATTGCATTTTCTCTCCCCTCTGCTGACCAAAGCAATGAAATAAAGCAGCCTATTTCAAGACCTTGTCAATTTGGAGGCAGCCTGGAGGAGAGTGCATCCTCACAACCCCTGCGGCTTGCTGCCATCAGTGGGGGTCGTTTCTGGTTGGCTGATTTAGCTTGGCATTATTCCCAGATGCCGTTACTTCTCCTGGGCTTTTTTATACCCACAGCTAGCATGAAATCCCTCTTCTGGGCCTTCAAGGGTTACTGCAAGGAACATTAACTGCAGCCATTCCTACACTTTGGCTTTTGCTAGATGGGCTAATAGAATAGAGCTGGAAGGACTTGAGAGGTCATCTATTCCAGCCTCTTGCTCAAGCAGGAGAGCCTGTACCAGTGACAGCTAACCCTTTTCTCGTCACGTGCCTAAATTGCATGCACGATAGCACATGCACACATGATCCCTCATGTTTCCCTTGCCCCATGCATGCAACACACACACACACACACACACACACACCGTGCCCCATTTTGGGCCTAGTAGGCCTCCTTGAAGCCTCCTGGAACCAAAATCGGGGCGTGTGTGTATGTGCTGTTACCAACCACCCTGCACATATGCACGTGCGTCTCCCGCATGCGTGGCAGAGACCTGAAAATCAGCTGGACAGCGGGAGGCACACATGCATGCGCAGTAGAGCTGAGCTTGGCAACAGCTCACGTGCCCGCCGACAGGGCTCCCATGTGCCACGGACATCATGGACCTATCACAGTTCGGCATCACGGACCATCTCAGACAAGTGACTTGTCTTCTTAAAAACCTCCAGTGATGGAGCACCCATATCCTCTGAAGGCAAGGCATTCCACTGGTTAATTGTTCTCACTGTTAGGAAGTTTCTCCTTAACTCCAGGTTGCTTCTCTTTTTGATCAGTTTCCAACCGTTGTCTCTTGTCCTGCTCTCTGGTGCTTTGGAGAATAATTTGACACACAGACACCCCTCTTCTTTGTGGTAGAGGGCAAATACTGAATTGATGTCAGCCTCTGCTTTGCTGCTGCTTCGGCTGCCATTGAAACGGGGTGCGGGGGCATGGTATTTGGGAAGGGA